AGTCCTGTTTTTTTGTGTTAGATTATTATTAATGATATGTCTCATACAATAAAATCATCTGCGACACTGTCATTACTGAGCGATTAAATGCATGGATCTGCACACAAATTCAAAATTGGTGAGTTTTACATGACATTAAATTCAGAGACAATTATGCGGGTGATGTGTTCATCAAGAGGAAAAACTAAACCAAAAGCCCACCAGGCAGATTGGCTCAGGGCTGGAAAAGAAAAATCTTATCCAAGGTTAGTCTTAAATCCAGAAGCGAACCAGATACTAACCAATAATGACGTCTTTTAATAATAAGAAGGTGAACTGTATGGCTTGAGATTGATGCTACCCCATACTCCCTCTCGTGGCCAGATCTAGACATAACAGTAAGCGTTAATAAAGATGCTTACATAGTCGCAGTGAAAATGGTCGGGAATATACACAAAGTTATCAGTTTGAAACAAGGATTATAGTAGGATTCCATGGAGCTAAATATTTATATTTTGATTAAATGTGAGGAGTAGCGTAGTGGTTAGCACTGATAGTTAGCAGCATGACTCCACGTGGGGAGTTTGCTTGTCCCTCCTGTGTTGTCGTAGGGTTTCTCTACTGATTTCCCCCCAGAATCCAAAATAATTAAAAAAAAACCTGTACCTGTTTGTGTGTGTGTGGGTGGGGGGGGGGGGTGTCTGTACCTGTATGTGTGTGTGTGTGTGTGTGTGTGTGTGTGTGTGTGTGTGTGCCCGGTCCTGGGTCATCCCCTGTCTTGTGCTTATAGACTCCAGACTCCCGCAATGCTGACTAGGAAAAGCAGTTACAGAAAATGGATGGATGATTAAGTGTGGGATTTTTTCAATTTCTGTTTTATAGTATCCCAATTTGTCTGTGGTGTATAGTGGGAAACGGTATAAGGCAGGAAATGGAAATTGAAACATGAACTTCTCCCTGTTCTAATGAGATGTGCACAGTAATACACACCTACTGGCCTCACATGAGGTCTCCCTTTCAGCTCTGAATACTTACTGTGTAATTTCAACACCATTATCATTTTGGAACTAAAGCACTCAGAAATAAATAATAATATTTGTAAAAAATCGTTCAGGATTAATAAAAACAAAATTACCCAGTTATTTCCAGTGAACCCAATAATACATGTTGGTATTTTTGCTGCATGTCCCAGTTTAAATGTGCTGATAAAGGTGCATTGATGCACAAATGTGGTGGAATCCCCATGATGTCAGGCACAGTGACATGCCGACGTCCAGATATCGCTAATTTGCTGTGCGTATCACGCAGATACATACGTCCAGCAGGCTGGAAAGCCACACTGTAAAACTGCTTATTTTCCAAAGGGGCATACCGAGAGACAGGGCATTACTGAATATGACACAATTAATCACAGCATGATCCAGTTGAGTTATAACTGGGAGGATCGGACGAGCGGGGCATGACATAATCCATGGTATGATTTTGGGAGGAACAGCGTTTCAGCAGGTTACCTCACTGCCCCAGTGCTGGCTGATCAGGTTCCACTTGCTTAATCAGTCTCTCTGACTGCTGGTCTGAAACGCAACAAGTACCAGTAGCAAGGCATCAGGTGGCCGATAAATTCATGAACACAGAAATGCAAAGTCATTTCTAAGCCGTTTCTCAGTTGATTGCACTCAACAGCCTGCCCTCCTGCAGCTAAGTGGGAGCTCAGCAGCCCCCCCTGCTGGTAGTGGCGCCCTTGGACTCAGCCACTGACGGGCAATCTTACCATCTGAAGTCCTGCTTTGTGCCTCAATCCACTCCTTATATGCTAATATCTACTAAACACCTTAGTTCAAATTATTAGGAGAAAATAAAATATTTGAGGTAGCAATGGAATACATTTCAGGTTTTCTGATTTTCCATTCCTTTTGAAAAAATAACTACATATCAATAAAGATCTGATTTGCGAGAATATTTCATTCGATGCAGTTATGGAATAATTACAATATGTTGAGTAGGCATATTGAACTCTAGTAACAAGTTCCTTTTTTTTGTTCAGTATAAGTTTTTTTTCTGGATACTATTTTATTCCTGTAAAACCCACTTCTGTGATTTACAAAAGCATCTTTAAAGTGTCAGTGTTTTTGTGTTTTTCAGTGAACTATGGCCCATTTAATCTTCCCCAGTGGAAGAGACATTTATCCTCGTACAATCCATGGGCCACATGGCACAGCAGGTCCTCCTGCTCAGCTGCTCTGTTTCTTTCTGCATGTGCAAGTTCATTTACTTAGACTTTAGCTGATGTTAATTCACCATACTGATTTGATCTTTGTATGAAGTCATTTTTATAGTTCTGTCACACCGAGAAAAGTATGTTAGAGGTATTTTATCTGGAAACATCCGCAGGCTGATCTAATCCCACACGGTGTGTCCAGACCTGGAATGTCATACTCCTCTTTTCCCTTTCTGACGACGTTCATGCTTTGGCTCTAGTGATAAAAATGTTTCACGTTGCATTAGTGAAATACTCACTTTTCCTTGGATCACTATTTACGGTGATCCAAGACTTTCTGAATAGCTGCTTTTTCCACTACAGGGATAATCTCTATACTGGCTTTGCTGAAACTCTCTGTTTGGACTCAACTGCCTCTTTTTAACAGAGTCTTTGACCGAGACACCAAAATAAAGGAGATAAAGGGACACGACATGGATCTATAGTCTTACTTAAGATCATGCTGAATCAGGAAGCCGGCTCCCATGTAAAATTCCCATGTAATTCAGCTTATACGGCTAACAGGGGAGATAATGGAGAAATCACTTTAGCAGAAAGACAGCAGCCTTTCAATGGCAACTTGCTGCAGCACTTTGAAAATCCACTGCTCGTTCTTTTGAAGCATCTTTAACATGAACACAAATGAAATGCATGACGGCGTTTTCTAAATAGTGCACAGACCACAGGGGTCCGTATTTTGCTATTCTATTTTATTCTAAAAAATGTTTGTTTTATTTAATGAACTGATTATGAATACACACTATAACCTTATTATAACATTATTATTACATTATAATGCGTGTATGTCTTAATATGATGGGATATGTGAAAAAACACAGTCCAATGTATCTGTACTTGTACAAAAGCATTTTCTCTGCATAAATGGGAGTCTGATTCTCTTGTATATTTAATTATTGTGTCCCTGAACAAGATTATTTAAACTTTGATCATTTCATATGTACCATCCCCACAACCTGAGTCAGCCAAAATAGTCCTGTGGTAAACTGCATTCTGCGCATTCCTGAAGTAGCTTGCTACAGCAGACAGTACTCGTTCAGGACTGATTTCTGTCTCTGTCCATCACAACTTTCAAAGGATTCCTGTGATTTTCCTTTTACGGCTTGGACATCATGTGATTGGCAGGACCGCAGGTGGTCGGTCTTACATTGAAGAAGGCCTTATGTAGCCATAGTCACAGAGTATCTTGACAAGCTAAAAGCTTGTATACTGCACACAGTCAGGCAGTGTGTGGGACACCTAAAGAGGGCCACTCTAAGATGAAGGACCCAGCAGCCGCTCAGGCCACTTATGAACCCTTTAATCGCCAGTACAATGCCCTTGAAGCATAAAAAATACTCTCATCACCAAACTCTGTCACCCCCCCCCCAAAAAAAAGAGCCCTAAGACAGAAAAACTGTAGCAGTTCATGTGCTGTCCTAATCTGTCCAGCTTCTTTGAGCTAAACAGTGAGTGTTTATATTGGATTTTAGTTCACTCCTGTTCTTTATTTGAACTTAGAATAAGCATTTTTTAAGAACAGATCCCTGGATTTTTTCATATTATGAGTTTCCAAGTAACACAAAAACCTGTATTTCCCTCGATAGTTTATGATCCATCAGCCAAGAGGCTCCCAACTTCTCTCCATGACTGTGAAAATGACATGATCCTCAAACATGTGTCCTGGGATAAATGATACAAACAAAAGTGATTTATGTGAGGGTCGTATTGAATGTTGCACAAACCTTGTTTTTGTGAGTCTGAGCAAAAGCCCATTTTCAGCTGCTTTGAAAGAACAGGGATCAGGGGGTTAGGGCCCATGTACAGAAGGTTGTGTGTCCGAATCCCATGGCCGGCAGAGGAATGACATCACTACTGGACCGTGGAGGAGGGGCCTTACCCAGAGGTGTCAGAAATGGAGGCCAATTTGCTACCAACAAAGACTGTAGTTTTGCATCAGACTGAATCATTCTAGTATATGGACCAGTTACTTTTTAATTTTTTATTTGTGAAACTGTACCTTGAAGTGTTACTCTTATTTTAAAGGATGAAATCTTTATTGATGAAGTCTTAGTATTTTAAAATATTTCTTACATCATATCCTTTCACGATGTGACTAATGTCTGCATTCCCATCGCGATGTAACAATATATATGGCACCCCCCATGTCAAACTCCTTCTGACACCACTGACCTTACCCCAACTGCTGCAGGGTGGCTGGATGCGGCCCTCTTGGGGGGGGGCGACCTTCTGGCCTGTGGCCTCTGTGCTATTTACCCCTTTATGAGCCCAAGCATGGTTACTGAAATTAGCAAAACCTGAGTCTCCATGCTGATGTCAGTCTAGTCCCCTGGATAAGGTCATTTGCCCATATCCATCGCCTTCAATGAAAGCAAGACTGGATATGTGAAAATCACCCAGTTTCTTCATGGGATTAGTCATTTGATAGTTTTACAAATAACTAAGCTAGAGATTGCAAATTATAATTTTTTTAGTCTATGGGGGATTTTACAGCAAGCGTCTTTAAATGACTACACTCAAAATTTTCGGGAGTGAATGGTCCGGTTTTGCATGTCCACTGACATCAGGCTAATCTGTATGTCTCCCATAGGTGCTGACATCATTTCTATTTTTAAAGGGCATGATGGTCACAGGCTGGGTTACATGCCAGGACCCTGGATGTTTCTCAACACTCGGAATCAATAAAAAATTCGGGCCAGCGGCCAGGACATCGGGTGACTCCCAGGGTAACGTCAGCTGTTGCGCAAAAAAGCACAACTTGTCAATGTCTCACAACTTAGGCAAACTACAGGGGCCAAGTGACCCTAAACTCCGCCTGAGTAAATCCCCTTATATAAAGTCGGAAAAGTGCGCGCGGTCATTGCGATCCCGCAAGCGAGGAGTTACAGCAGAAGTGCGGCACTACTGTATAACTCATAAACCCTGGCCGTGTGCGTTTAAATCTTTTTACGCGTCAATTCGACTTTTGGAAAGTTTCATCTCGGCTTCCAGCAGCTTGAGGCTCGTTTACGGATTACTTTAAATAGCAGACAAGTATAGGTTACGCAGTTTTTGTTAGTTTCCCGGTAGCAATGGCAGAAGGACACTTTCACCCGCGGGCAAGGGCAAGGATACCGATGGATCCGTTTGGGGAACAATCGCTAGCCTCCCGGTTCATGGATGATCAGTTTACCATGCCGTCCTTCCCCGATGATCTGTCCATGGACTGGCCGGCATGGGCTCGCTCCCGACTCGGCTCTCCCTTCTCCAGCGGTCTGCGCTCGTCTTTCCCACGTACGGCCGGGGGCTCCGCGCCCGGGGGCGCCACACGGTACAGCGACCCGCCGGAGACTCCCGGAGACCCGTGGAAGGTCTGCGTAAACGTCAACAGCTTCAAGCCGGAAGAGATAAGCATCAAAACCAAAGACGGATATGTCGAAGTTTCTGGTAGGCAATACATTCTAAGTAGTATCATTTACTGTGCTCACATTTAATTTATTTTAGCACTTTTCCGCTTTGAATAAGACTTTTCAAGGTCATTATTAAAACAAAATAAGGTTATATTATTTTATATTTCCCCTTTTTATTCGATTTATGAAACTAATAGTGAAATAGTCGTGGATACTCTACAAAGAGGTCTTGAACCACAGTCAGTAGATGGGTCATGACAACGATAATACTTATAGTGTGATTCTTTCCACGTGTACTGTGTACCAGAGCAAGACAGCCAGTGTGTTGAAATTAAGCTGTTTTGAATTAACCTTGACCGCAGTCTTAAAGTGTCATGGAACACATATCGGAGGTGTAAGTATTCTGCTGCATACCAAACCAGCACACTGCTGACTGGTCTTGTGCGGGCAGATGGCTGGTTTCCTAAAGAGACAGTGAGGTGACATCTACGACCTCAGGGGCTGTGTGTGTGAGTGGAGAGGTCAGTCATGTCGGCTGTGGGGCTCCGGGGTCCGTAACCAGAGTTCTTATGCTGGCTTTCATTTTGCAAGAAGCAGAAAACAATGTCCTGAGCAGACCTTCTGAAAGGAAGACAGTGTTTATTAAACAGTGGTGAGGAGAGCTGTGTTAGGCTGCTTTGGAGTCTGGATTCTGCTATGTCGTTCTGTGCCTGGAGGCCAAAGGAATTACTCCTGACTTATATCATCCTCCCGTCCCGACCCTGAACGTTAGACACCTTCCTATACTTAAACCCGGAGGATCAGTCCCTCTGCTGTGGATTTGTAGTTCAGTCACACCCTGTCATCTCCTGTTGCTCAGAGTCTCTTAGGGGCATGAATGTGTCCCCCAATGGGAACCGCATAAATGACTTTGCACACCTCCTTTTGTGTCCTCCTTTGTGTAGGGAAGCATGAAGAAAAGCAAAATGAGGGAGGCACCGTGACAAAAAGCTTCAACAAGAGGATCCAGTGAGTACCTCAGATCCCCCTCAGATCCCTCTCAGATCCCGGCTTCATCACAGCCAATTCAACCAATCAGAATAAGTGCTTTGTTAAAACACTGTGACGGACATGTCACCTGCACCATCAAAGAGGGCCCCGTTCTCAAGTGACATTTGGACATAGCTCATCAATACTACAGTGATTCTTATCAGTAGTGGGTGTTTGTGGGCATTACGATATAGATTTGATAGCCAAAGTCAATATAGCTATTTTTCCTCAAACTTTGTGTTTATTGGAAAGTATTTTCTGTTAAAATGGTCAGGGTCGGTTCAAGCTGGACGACTCTCCGCATAACCCAGATACACTTAAGCTACATGGCATCTCCAGGAGGTCGCTAGATCAGTAGTTTCCGTGACAACGCCACTAACCATTATCTCCAGGTATGAATGATGCGAATGTTCAAGTCACAATATTTATTTTGTTTTGTCAGTTTGACAAACTGCACCGGGGGTCTGCCAACTTTTGGAAGCTGTTGTCCATTTTGTACTTGCTGGCAGGCTTTTCCCTGGAGAGTGAGAAGGTCTTTCTCTCCCGCTTTGGGTGGCATTCAGCTGTGGGGAAAGTGCGCGAAGTTTGGAGTTATGCAACAGCTCTCGGGGTTTGACACCCCCCGCCCCCAGCCACAGGCAGACTGGCCCTGTCCTTATTAGGCTCACACAGCTGATGGTGACGCTGCAGCTGTTTCCACCGCAGAGTTATGAGGATTCGCTGCTTAAGATGCTGCCCTGGGTGACTTTCATGGGGCCGGGTCTCCATGGCGATCCCAAACAATTACTATTGTCCCTGTCAACCAATCAGATGGCAGGCTACAGTACTTAAGAGATTGTCTAGAATATACATTTGCGTTATAATTGAAAAGAAAAAAACATTTGATCTTCAGTTGTGTCTGAATAGTTTATTGGCATGGTTATAATTTTTACATTTAAAAAGTGTACAACATATTCAAGACTGTAGCTACTTAACATAATACTCAGAAAGTAAATATATCAGTTATATTATTTTGAAGAATATGCATCAGTAGACAAAATATATATAATTGGTAAGTGAACCAGTGAAGCTGTGGGGAGGGTTTGAGTGGAATCAGCTGAGGCAGAGCCTGACAGCCTTGGCCGGGTTTCTGGCATAAGCTCTGTCTCTCACTCCTGTCCCCAGGATCCCAGGCACCGTCGACCCCCTGGCGGTCTTCGCCTCCCTCTCCCCCGAGGGCGTCCTCATTATCGAGGCTCCGCACACCCCACCCTACTACCTCTTCAGCAGGGATGCCGTCGGCACCAAGGGTGGAGAGTCAGAGCCCAGTGCTCAGGAGACACCCGTGGCTTGACACAGGGACGCGCGTAGCTCACACACGGTGGGACAATGACAAAGACCTCACCGGCCCCACAATCCTCGGTTCTAACCCCCACCAGCCATCCTATTATAATTACCTTTCTTTTCTGTTGGAATCTGAATGAAATGGACTGTAAAATATGCATCTTCCATATTCCTGAGATTATTAGAGTTTATAAGTAATTTGTGTTCTTTTTTACTGGTACGTATAATTGTGGTATATAAATCTATATAAATAAACAGTCAGATGACTAAATGATGACCGTTTTTGAGTTTTGAACAAAACACAGGTTAAGTGGTTTTAAGGTTAACTAAGGAGAAGCGGTGGGAGCCACACTGACTGCCTTTATCAGTGTCCTGGCAGCTCCTAGAGAAGCCATCATTCAGTTAATTTATACTTAGTTTATGCTGAATATTTGATATGCGACTCCGTTTTCAGTCAGAAAAGCCGGTCACTGGTTACTAGCTGCTGCGTCGCGTGATTAATCCTCCCTAACCCAGACGTCTGCTCAGTGCGGGTCATGCGTTATCAAGGCTTGGGCTGTACAGTGTTGAAAGCGGGTCTGGATCAAGCACGTTGTGATGGTGTGCCAGGCTGGTCCACTGCACCAAACCAGGTTTCCCATTTACAGCTTCACCTCCTCCTGTTCTGACTGGTTAGTGGCATAAGGAGTAGCTCCAGACTGGGGCTTCTCCTCTCTTGCCCAGTGCTTCTCCCCACCAGCAGGGGGTGCTGTTTCCTCTAAATACCCTTGCTTCATCTCTCTCAGATCCTTCTCCCTGTTTTTTCCTTCCTCTTCCACCTGCATAAACACAGTTAATCTCTAATCATAGACTCAGGAAATAAGGGCATCGATACTAGAGCCTCAAATGATGTTTCGATTGGAATGTAGGCAAAAACCAAACAGAGCATGGCTGGACTCTCAGCACTCTCTTCACCTGGATGGGAATGAAGATCTCCGGCGTGAGTGTGGGACCTGGGGGAGGCAGCGGGGCTTCCACAGTCAGCACACCGTCCCCAGAAAGCGACGAGCTGATGTGCAGAAGGTCCGCCCCAGAAGGGAGCCTGTGGAGGGGAGGGACAGTCACCTGATTGGGGGCAGTGGTGACACAAACAAGCGCCACCGTGTGAGCAACAGCCTTTGGAGACACTGTCTGCTCTCCGTTAATCAAAAAGTAGCAGCAACACTATGCTGTAATTCCAGGTTGCTAAGCATGTGAAGTTACAGAGATTATTTCTCTACTCACTTGTATTTCCTTGTGAAGCATCTGGAGACGAATCCATGTTCATCCTGTCTCTCCTCATGCTTCCCTGAACATTAAATCCAGCATCCAACACAAATAAAGATGTACACGGTGAAACACGAGGCCGGACTGCGCACGCAGAGTGTCCAGGGATTTTGCACTAGCACTTCATCCAGAGAGCAGCCCCATAGCTTTCAGAAAGCTCACATGCTTCAGTGCAATTTGGCCACAGTTTACAGTTCAGTGAAATGGAGGGAGCAGATCATTTGTCAGAACTCACCAGCATATTTACATTCTATTCTCACCTTGGAATTTAAGGACGTGGGGACAAGCTATTAATGGAGTGTTTTCAATACTGTGAGCTACAGAAATGTAAAATATCAAGTTACCTACATACATAACATCTATGTAGCCGCTTGATACATTAGTTCAGATTTTCAGAAATGAAGTGAGGTTGCACATCGAAAGGTCTCTTTCCACTTATCAATTATAAATTGCAGATGATTTCATTGTACCTGCTATCTCCAGGTAGCCCTCCTTGGTTTTGACTGTGATTTCCTCCGGTGAGAAGTGTTTCACATCCAGCACAATCTTCCAGCAGTCGGGCCCGGTCCTGAACTCCGACACGCCCCCAGATACCTGGTGTTGGTGCTGGGGGCCAGGCAGGCCGGATGGGGCAAAGAGCGGGGTCCGCGTATACCCCGGCGAGGATGACGTAGCAAGGCGGCGTCGGGCCCAGTTGATCCAGCCAAGGTCCCCCGGCTCCAAGAATGGAGGCAGCCCCAAGTCCTGCTCAAAGATCCGGCTCGGCCGAGCCCAATCATGGAAAGGGTCCGAGTTCATGTCCCGGTGGAAGAGCGGGCGTGGTACCACCTTGCTGTGGTCAGTCATGGTGTAGCGGGGAGCAGGAGTGTGGGAAGAGGATGCAGAGAGATGCGACAGACAGCGAGAGCTCGAATACAACACAGTTCAAACGGCTGTTGTAATGTCCGGGTAAATGGAAGGCAGCTGTGAGCCAAGAGGAGCCGTTGGAATTCTCTAGAAAAGTTTGGGGGGTGGGGGGGGGGTAGGCAGATTAATGGCCAGAGCTTAAAGTAACAATAGCTCAGTACTCTGGAGAATTCATTTATATATCCGAGCTGCCGGCAGTGACACTTACTCAGCAGGGACAGTGATCCTATGAGAGGGGAAGGTGGGAATGAGGTGATGCTCCTGGTAGGTGGGGAGGGGGGGGTCACTGCCGAGCCGCTCGGCGATGGAGATGCTGACTGCCCCTATTTATAGCCCTAGAGGGGAAATGGCAAATAGTTGGCTGATGACTGTGGTCACAGGGATGTTGCTGCCTCCCACCGCCCTCTATAATCCCCTCATATCCCAGGGAGCTCCGCTGGCTCCTTGGTGACCGGAGCCTGGGCCCCCCAGCACGGAGATGCGTGCTTGCTGCACGGTAAGGTGTGCTTTCTGCAGGACAGATTCAAGGAGACTCGCTCCAGTGGCAACCAACAGGAGAGATCTGGGAATGCAGACCCCTGTTGCTGGGGGCCAGCTGGCTTATACTCCGCCTCTGAGTAGTGAAAGGAGGTGCTGTGTTTGACGGCGATGGCTGCTGGGGGGGTTCCCACTGCTGTTAATGCTTTTTGTTTTGTACTGAGTCTGATCGTCATGAGGACTGGCTAATGCACATTTTAGTTCGTTTTTCTTTGGTGCTTGGATATTATATCTGGTCTGCATTGCTAATATTCAAAGTCAAAGAAAAATACAGAAGCCTGGAATGAATATTTGGATGATTTCAGTACTATAAAAAAATCTAGTCCCAGCTAAAAATAAAATAAATGTATGAAATATATTGCAATGTGAGAGAGGAACCTTTCCTGAAGTATTGTAGGTCTAAAAACGTGGCTATGCAGCATTATTTGATGAATTAATATTTCCATTATCAGGGGGAAATCAGAGAGCTGTTTATCTTAGATACAGCAAGGCTGACAGCGGCAGGTGGACTGTGTACAGTCAGCAGGGCGGTGAGGAATTTCGCCGATGGAGACAGTGCCGGGCGGGGCCCCCGCGGGACTCCTCTGGGATCTAATGCGTTAGGATCGCCTTGGAGAACGCGGGGGGAATTTCGCGCAAAAAAGTTGGCGAGGTGTGAGCAGCAGCGACAACAGGAACAACAACAACAGCAATAACAAGAACATCAACAGCAATAAGAACAAGAACAACAGCAGCAGCAACAACAACAACAATAATAATAATAATAATAATAATAATAATACTTATAACAGACAGAAAAAAGGGAGCTGGACGTTTTCGGTAAATGGACTGGAGATCGAAGAGGATATACATTGTCAAACGATCTATACAGTCACAGACTAACACAGAGAAATATAAAATCAGAGTTATAAGGTCATCTTATCTATAAGAACATATAATCACTCCCATTCAAAGAAAACTTCTCCGATCAGACCGAAAGTTAAACACTCACCAGCCCACTGGGTACAACCCCAGGACACTAACATTTCCCGAGAGTATCCGAAGTTCTGATAAATACAGTCTACGCCCCTTCGCTTAGGCAACCTTATAGTCAAGGCCAGTAACGGTGCGATATTCTCCCGTTGTAGCTCCCTCTGCGAATGAGATCACTGCCGTTTGATAAAGTACAGCGCGTCCTGGCAATATTCTCTGGCAGAGGAGGGTCCACTGAAATTAAACACGTCTGACATTTATTGTGCTTCACTTACTTCGCCCCGCACAATAGGTGAACTGTCTAAATGAAAACAGAAATGCAAAGAATTTGCAGTTTCCAAGCAGTCACAGGATGTTGTGTCTTATGGACATACCTATACATCGATTGTGGTATATGCAAACAATATGCTGCCTTCTGTGTTAGTATAACATTCAGGCTCCAAACACACTTAAAAAACACACAAAGAAGTGTGTGAATCTCAGGTCGTTACTGCTCAAAACATGATTATTTAAAATCTTCTGAGTGATAAGCTGTTTACTCTGAAATTACATAATAAATAAATAAAATACTCTTATATGTCCAGGAGATGGCGCCGTAGTTGTTAATTTCAGACATTGTGTTTACATGTCGTATTTTATATTTGGAAGAGCAAGGTAATAGAAGCCTTGTCCGCAAGACGATAAATGATTTGTCCTAAGGGTATTGTTGTCACCCGTCCCTTATAATACGGGATGCAACATTTTATTTTCCAATACGGCAGGATCCCGTATTGTAAGGGACGGATGGCAACCCTACCTTAGGGATTGTCTAAGTGTTGAGATGTTCAGAAAGTTCCGTTTAATAACAAAAAACGTATATCGACATTTAAATTTTAGCAAGTTCACCAACTTGGGGGCAGTTGATTTTATCCTGAATATGACCGTTTCTTACCCATAGTTCCTTGCGTTCCTTTTTATAGACACTGCGCGTGATCAGGTTTCCAGATCAGTCTGCAAGAATGTTGTAATTTAAACTGTATGTGCGTGTTTTGTGTTTCAGATTAAGATGAAAAACACAACATAAGCCCCGTTAAAATAGCAATACAAAAATACTCATGTTCTTCCCCTCACACGTCAAGCCCTTCCACGTAGCGCTGGTGCTGAAGGGGATTTTTATTGACGCTTTTATATTGTACTTACTGTGTGCGAACTGGTCATAAAATAAAACCTGCGTATCACATAAAGGCATGCAGTGCATGTCTTTAATTGTCACTGATTTATCGTACTTGCCTATCGTTAGAAGTATTAGGCATTGTGACATGGGAGAGTAAAATGTAAATTTTTGTTTCAATTACTCATCCTTGAATGACTTCTTGATAGTGACGTACATGGAATAAAGCTGTACGAAGGAAACCGGATAAGTTAAACAACTGATAGAGCAGCCTCACCCACCGATGCTGCGAGGCTTTGGTTACAGCAGCTGGGTCTCAGCCACTGAATCCTCAGCTTCGGTTTCTGGTTTCAAAGTGAGTCCTGTCCTGTCAGGGTGTTAAAGAGCAGGCTGAATGCCAGGCCTGAATGGGGACTGAGAGAGCGACCTCCAGTCGTCACGATAATGCTGTCCGGCCAACCGATGTCAAAGGGTCAGAGGAAAGCCTTGATTGAGGTTATATGACTGAAATGTTTTAAGACTTTTTCCTGAGTCAATTAGTGCCAGGCAGTGACAAAATCCTTTGAGCAGAGCCCAGAATGTAGCATATATGTCATTGTTCATATTGACGGTATTCTTATTTATAGTGTTTTTAAATGTTTAGATGAATAGGAACTGTGACCACATAGGTCAGGTCTGGTTGGGGGGGGTGCGGGGGGTGAGGCCAGGCGAGGCTGGTGCTTGAGGGCATGCAGTGTTACAGCACGCTGCTGCACCTCCCACACGACGAAACACCTCGGGATCCCGGTTGGCAACCCCCCAGGCCGACATGGGGTTCAGTCCCTTGCCGCAGCCAGGTGTTACGTGGGCGTCCCCTCTGCCTGGTCCAGCCGCTTGGGTCCTCAGCAGTGAGGATCCTGTGAGCCGGATCACCCTCAGGGAATCGCGCCACATGGCCGTAGTGCCGTAACTGACGGTCCATCAGAATGCGGGTCATGTGACGCTCCCGATGTCTGTGACCACTTACACACCATATAATCCTGCTGACCTACTCTGAATCTGTCTGTTATTAATCCGTGGCAGACAAACATAAGACAAATAATTAAAATCCAGGTGATGGTCCATTATTTGTGACTCCAAGTTACAGTGTGTCTTCAAGATCCTGTAGGAAGCTGGAGCATGTTTGGGAAGCTCTCCATCCTGGCTGGTCTTTCACTTCAATTCCCACCATCAGCCAGTTTTTAGTTATCCAGTTAGAGAAACCCCAGTTTGAAGAATTTGTGTTGTATATTGTGTACAGGGAGGGAGGCAACCCAGCTGATTCCTAGGCGCTGTCTGGAAACCAAATCAGGAAATATATTGAGGCGAATTTCAAGAGGACTCCCACAAAGCACTATGAAGGCCCTGTTCAGTAGCAAGTACAGGCTGTGTGCTACGCTACTCTGAATGTTAACACATCTTCTCCATTGTTGAAATAACACACATATTTTCATTCTTTTGTGCCACAATCTTGAGTTACAGGAAAACGCCCAAAGTCATAGGAAGGTGACAAACTTGAAAGACAGGGATTCTATGAATCTGCTTTTTTAAGTTATACCGCAGATTGACAGCATTTTACCAGATGAACACACCCAAACTCAGTCTGAGACTAAAACTAATAATTAAAAGTAATTCAGCTTTAGAGGCAAGCAAAAATGGATGCCGATTGTGAAATCGTAAATGGACTCAAATATGTCATGAGTCATACTAGGGTGTTTTTATTTGGGCACTCAGATAAAAGTTCATTTGACCTTTGGTTAATTAAATGTGGTTGTTCTGCGACGAGTGTTTACACATTGTGACAATGCAATATATCAGACAGCTGAATTTTCCAGAAATGGGTATTTCAGTCGCCCATGTTTCGGTCAAAAATGACAGAAGGAGAAGCCGACCATGAGTGCCAATTGCTGTGACACGATAAGATCCTTTTGCAGGTCATGTGGAACCTGATGTATTATAAACCCTTTTTACATCTTACTGTCTATAAGGTAATCCACTCAACAAATTTACTCACAAACTGTCACCCATATATGCCCCGGGGCAGAAAATATATCACCCAACAGATACTTTGAACTCTACAACTTCTAATGCTTTTAACTCGCGTTATGTTCAGGTGGTTATTTTTTCTTTTTAGTGTGGTCAGAGCATGGAATTTACGAGTCTCTGTTCAGCGTTGTTTTTCTGTCGGCGATAACAGCTGTGGAGAAAACAAGCGGGGGATTTTGAGCAACTTTTAGATGAAGATCAAACCTCAAACAGGAAGCCACCAAAAACAGGAACAAAGAGCAACACACTTCCAGGAGCAGAAGAGGAAATGGGTTTTTTTCCATATCATTTCATATCATGCAGACTGTTCTTTTTTTTTTTTTTAAGATAAAGCCTATGGTTAAAAAAAAAAAAGAACGGGCTGCATGATATGTGGTTGGGATATTAACAGAGGAGCAGCCATGACAGATGTAGGTTCAACACTTTACAGGGGAGGCTGGCGGGGATGTTCTTCTGATTTAAAAGCTCCAGTGGCACCTAGATTCCCAGGGCCTAACTGGACTTTAGTGGAATTCACATTGTAAAAAATACAAATCCGCTCAGAAGGGTTGGATTTAAGTTGCCCCATGATCAATAAGCAGCAGGCTGGACAGGAACATCAGTACGGCTACACCTGCTCTGCACCCATAACATCTGACGTACCTGTCCGAGAACCTGCTGATCAAACAATAAGAGCATTACGAGTGAGGTCAGTTTCACTGGTGCTTGCTTTCTGGAGAAAACTGAAATTCTAGAACATTTATGCAAAAAAGCTACTAGCAGCGGCAATAAAATGGAAGCCTCTATCTCAATAAGGCATAAACATTATTTATGCTAATAAGGACGTCAAAAATACAGGAGCGGCCATTGTTTTTCATAAGACTGAGAAAGACCTTTCAGGACCTGGAGCCCACATCCTTCTGGCGTCACGTTTATATTACTGACCACGGTGCTGCCCCACCCTTTACCACTGAACACATAAGAACCGGAGAAGGAGACAAGGAACACGGAAGTTGTAATGCTTGATTCTCTTTATGCATATTTATTTTGTGAGGAAAGCGTACCCTTAGTATGAAAATGTACAAAGGAATAAAGAACATGGTGAAATCACACCAGCAACAACGCTCCATCTTATGATACACATGGCGGAACGAACCAAACAAATAAATAGATTCAGTGCTCTCACTTTTAGGTGGCATTTATCACCTGCACAAAGTACAGAAATGCTTTCCCAACATTCTGAATCTCATACCACTCAAATTACAGATAATCCTTTAAGCATACAACTACAGAATTACGAAGCCAGGAGTAACTCAAGCGCTGTAACTACGAATCATCGGTGGAGACCCATTACAGCAGTCCTGAAGACAGCTGGTAAGGGACAATACAGGCTTAGTGGGCTCTACTGCAGCATATGAGATTACTGGTCTAATGAAGCAATTTTAGGCAGTGTTTACATATAAGAGCAAGATTATGGTGCTGGATCCTCAAACACTGATGAGTTGGGGGAAGAGTTCATTGGCAAAGATGTCATCCCAGAGCGGAGAGGACATGCTTCCGAAAGGAGAAGGGGAACGCTCAAACTCAGAGTCGCTGTACGCCTCTGACAGGTAGCAGCCCTCCTCAGGACCCCCGGGACTAAGCAAGTCACCTTGGCTTAGTGGGGGGATCAAGTCCTTCTCCTCTGGTTCCTCCTTGACTGGGAGCATCTCAGCTGACGGCTCCACCCCCAGGCCCCGTTCCCCAGCCACCTTCACCTCAGAGTCGCTTTCCTCACTTTGCTCCGCCGTGGCCTCCTGCTGTACCTCCACGGGCCGTGTGTAGATGTGGTCCCAGTGGATCAGTTCATTAGGGCCTTCCAGCCTTGTCGGTGGGGCCCCCACATCTGTATGAGAGGGGGCGGATACTGGATCTGATTCGACCCGGTCCAACTCCGGCACGGCGTCCTGGTCCAGGGAGCCACACCTGAGCAACAATTCTGGGTCAAGGATGTCCAGAATGCCCAGGAGGAGATCAGACTGGGGAGACAAATGGAGAGATAATGAACCAGAGCCAACTCCCACACATGCAATTCAAGGCACAACAGGGGTACCTCTTAAAATGCTGCCCCCCCCCCACTACTCACCTCAGGACCTGCAGAGCCATGACTGCACACATCCAGTTGGAGCTCCTCAGCTTTGATGAATGCTGGGCCTGCACCTTCTGCAGAGGCACACGTAGCCTGAGTGCTGCGGACTCAGAAGACCCGATCACCGTGCTGACGGCATCCACGCTGGACGGAGCATTCTGGAACTGCGACGGAGTAGATAGGGATCGTCAGAGG